TTTGGTAAAGTTGCAGGATACAAAATTAATGCACAGAAATCTCTTGCATTCCTATACACTAATGATGAAACATCTGAAAGAGAAATTAAGAAAACACTCCCATTTACCATTACAACAAAAAGAATAAAATACCTAGGAATAAACCTACATAGGGAGACAAAAGGCCTGTATGCAGAAAACTATAAGACACTGATGAAAGAAATTAAAGATGATACCAACAGATAGAGAGATATACCATGTTCTTGGATGGGTCGAATCAATATTGTGAAAACGACTATACTACCCAAAGCAATCTACAGATTTAATGCAATCCCTATCAAATTACCAATGACATTTTTTATGGAACTAGAACAAAAAATATTAAAATTTGTATGGAGACAAAAAAGACCCTGAATAGCCAAAGCAGTCTTGAGGAAAAAAAAACAGAGCTGGCAGAATCAGACTCCATAACTTCAGACTATACTACAAAGCTACAGTAATCAAGAAAATATGGTACTGGCACAAAAACAGAAACATAGATCAATGGAAGAACATAGAAAGTCCAGAGGCAAACCCACACACCTATGGTCCACTAATCTATGCCAAAGGAGGCAAGGATATACAATGGAGAAAAGACAGTCTCTTCAATAAGTGGTGCTGAGGAAGCTGGACAGCTACATGTAAAAGAATGAAATTAGAACACTCCTTAACACCATACACAAAAATAAAGTCAAAATGGATTCAAGACCTAATGTAAGACCAGACACTATAAAACTCTTAGAGGAAAACATAGGAAGAACACTCTTTGACATAAATCACAGCAAGATCTTTTTTGGTCCACCTCTTAGAGTAATGGAAATAAAAACAAAAATAAACAAATGGGACCTAGTGAAACTTAAAAGCTTTTGCACAGCAAAGGAAACCATAAACAAGACGAAAAGACTACCCTCAGAATGGGAGAAAATATTTGCAAATGAAGCAACTGACAAAGGCTTAATCCCCAAAATTTACAAACAGCTCATGCAACTCAATATCAAAAAAACCAAACAAAGCCCAATCCAAAAATGGGCAGAAGACCTAAATAGGCATTTCTCCAAAGAAGATATACAGATTGCCAACAAAGACATGAAAGGATGCTCTAATCATTAGAGCAAAACAAATCAAAACTGCAATGAGGTATCACCTCACACCAGTCAGAATGGCCATCATCAAAACATCTACAAACAATAAATGCTGGAGAGGGTGTGGAGGAATGGTAACCCTCTTCCACTGTTGGTGGGAATGTAAATTGGTACAGCCACTATGGAGAAAAGTATGGAGGTTCCTTAAAAAACTAAAAATGGAACTACTATACAGCCCAGCATCCCACTACTGGGCGTATACCCTGAGAAAACCTTAATTCAAAAAGAGTGATGTACCACAATGTTCACTGCAGCTCTATTTATAATAGCCAGGACATGGAAGCAACCTAAGTGTCCATCGACAGATGAAGAGATAAAGATGTGGCACATATATACAATGGAATATTTCTCAGCCATAAAAAGAAACAAAATTGAGTTATTTGTAGTGAGGTGGATGGACCTAGAGTCTGTCATACGGAGTGAAGTAAGTCAGAAAGAAAAAAACAAATACCGTATGCTAACACATATATATGGAACCTAAAAAAAATAAAAAGGCTATGAAGAACCTAGGAGCAGGACAGGAATAAAGATGCAGATGTAGAGAATGCACTTGAGGACACGGGGGTGGGGAAGGGTAAGCTGGGACGAAGTGAGAGAGTGGCATGGACTTATATGTACTACCAAATGTAAAATAGATAGCTAGTGGAAAGCAGCTGCATAGCACAAGGAGATCACCTCGGTGCTTTGTGACCACCTAGAAGGGTGGGATAGGGATGGTTGGAGGGAGACGCAAGAGGAAGGAGATAGGGAGATATATGTATATGTATAGCTGATTCACTTTGTTATAAAGCAGAAACTAACACACCATTGTAAAGCAATTACAGTCCACTAAAGACGTTAAAAAAAAAAAGTCAAGAAACATTGCTGGAGAGCCTGTGGAGAAAAGGGAGCCCTCCTACACTGTTGGTGGGAATGTAAATTGGTGCAGCCACTATGGAGAATAGTATGGAAATTCCTCAAAAAAGTAAAAATAGAGTTACCATATGATCCTGCAATTCCACTCTTGGGCAAATGCTAGTTCAAAAAGATATATGCACCCCAATGTTTATAGCAGCAATATTTACAATAGCCAAGACATGGCAGTAACCTAAATGTCATCATTAGATGAATGGATAAAGAACATGTGGTATATATACATACGATGGACTATTACTCAGCCATAAAAAAGAATGAAATAATGCCATTGCAGCAACATGGATGGACTTAGAGATTGCCATACTGAGTGAAGTCAGACAGAGAAAGACAAATATCATATGATATCACTTATCACTAAAAAAATGATGCAAATGAACTTATTTATAAAACAGAAATAGACTCACAGACATAGAAAACAAAATTATGGTTACCAAGGGGGCTAGCAGGCAGCGATGAGATAAATTTGGAGTTTGGGATTAACATGTATACCCTACTATATATAAAATAGATAACCAGCAAGGGCCTACTGTGTAGCACAGGGAACTATACTCAATATCTTGTAATAACCTACAATGGAAAGAATCTGATAATGAATATATATTTATATATATATGTACGTGTATGAAACTGAATCGCTTTGCTGTACACATTGTAACTATACTATTGTAACTATACTTCTATTTAAAAAAGTATTTGCAAATATATTTGCACAAAGATTTCTATTGTAGAATTTTTATAAATGCTAAAAACTGGAGACAACCTAGTTGACTTGTTAATAAAACACGAAAGATATCCAAGATATATCAAGTAAAAAATGCAAGTGGCATAACTATATGTGTAATATGATTGTACTTGTAAAAAATTCTATGCCTTTATGTTTATAATATATTTTAATATTTCTAGAAAAATATACCTGAAAGTACCCTTTTGTTCCATTTGACTTTTTATCGTGAAAGTTTATGTATTCTTCCAGAATAATAAATTATTAAAAAGTTGTGTTAAACCTGGCCACAAAGGATGAGAGATATTATAATGTAGATTTACATTGAGTTGGATAGGCTCATTTTTCAACCTGGCTTTACCTTTGCTAGCTGTGTCTCTAAGCTGGTTACTTCACCTCTCTAAGCTTCAGTTTCCTCTCCTGCAAACTGAGGATAAAAATGATCTCATTTTTAACCTAAGTGGTTTATTTTAAAGATTAAATGAGATATTGCATGTCAAGTACAAAGCACAGGGCCTGGCACATACAAGGGCTCAGTAAGTATTTATGATGGTGATGATGATGGTAGTGACAATGATAATAAGTATTCCTTTTTCTTGTAGTTCTCCATGATGTGTCCTAGTTCTAGGACTCAGACACAATCATCTAGCAAGAAGTCCTTTAGGTGTGATAGCACCAGCATAAATAATAGACATTTGCACCAGGGATCATAGAAACAAAGGAATGAGGATGTGTATAAAATCACGAATACAGAGTGTGAGGGGTATGATGTGCTGGTCCACTGTGTTGTGAAGAGGGAGGGAGTGGCACTTGGTCAGAAGTACATGCCTGTGTGGTGGATCTAAAAGGTGAGTGTGTAAACCATGCGGTAAGAGTCCCTGTGAACCTTAGAGGAAAATTGGCTGAAGCAGGTGCTGCCTACCACTGGGGGAAGAAGAATGGACTAGTTGAATGGAAAAAAATCAAATCTGCAATCAGGTAGCCTGCTAGATGCCAAAGAGATGGCTGCCCCAGCCACCTTGATGGGATGCTGGCTCCTGGGCTGGTATGCCTAAATCAACCTGCTCATGTGATTTTGTCTGTATTTCTTATGATACTCAGGGACCCAGCCAAGGGAGACTAAGAGTATCAGCCTGTATTTTGCTTTATGTACTTCAGAAAGCATTTGCATGTTATTTCATGGTCTCGTGTTTCTCTGGGTTGTATCCCAGGAGCAGTGACTCCCAGCTCCTCCTTTAGCATGTCTCCTTCCAGGAACCTTTGAGTTTGACATACACCATATTCCCTGTGCACCAAAATAATAGGATTCTAGGGTTGAGGATGACCCTGATATTCATCTAGTTCAATTTTCTCACTTTGTGAATGAGGAAATTGAGGTCAATATAGGGAAATATGCTTGGCCAAGTTCATAGAGCTAGTATCTTCAGAACCAGCACTAGAACATTCATCTCAACAGCCCTTAGCATACTTTTGCTCTATCATAAGATTGGCCTGTAGGGGATCATCACAAAGCAGATTCAGAGATGACAAGAAGCAGTTTTCCTTTGGTCTTTATACCTAATGGCAAGATGTCAGACAGCTTAGAGAATGAAAGAATTTGATTAACGGGTGACCATTTTCATTCCATGTCATCCTGCTTTCACCTCTGTGTCCCCACTGCTTTAAGAATCACTTTGTAAACTAACTTGGATTGGTTGTGATTGTATACCCTTAAAAGCTATGTACCTAGCTAATATTAATATAGAATTTTTAATATGGAAATGTGAGGCATGTTTATATCCCTGGTAGTGAAAGAAGATCAAGAGTAGAAGTTTGTTGGAAGTCAAAGAGAGAAAAACCAGGACAAAGAATGACCCAACCTTTTTTGGGGCAACGAAACCTATACCTAGAATTCGTTATTTTCCCTTTTGTATCATAATTGCAGATGAAAATATAGTCTTGGTTCTAAAAACCCTCTTTGCATTGTTAGTGAGGAGTTTTGATCGCATTCAAGAAGACTTCTTGAACTGTGCTGCTGGGAAGGTCCAGGTTCCTGAAAGCACAGCCACAGGAAGGATCCCAGACTTTCAATTGGAAATTCTATGTGCAGGAAATATGCTGGGTTGTCACACCAGCAAACAGGAGTGCTGGAGCTCCATTTCTGCTGCCGGGGAGAGAAAGCGGTCAGTCCCTGGTTGTGCTGTCTGTGGGCAGGACCAACTCACCTATGACACTGAGTAGCATCACCTCACTCTGCTGAACCCCCAGGCCATTGCCGGCCTTACAGGAGTAGTTTCCAGAATGTTTCGTGGTCAGAGAGAGGTTGAAGGATGCTCCTCCTCCCAAGGTAGCTGAGCTGTTTCCCACGGCAACATCCTTGTGATAAAACTGGTACAGGATCGGGGGAGAGCCTCTCTGGGCCTCACAGTGAAGCTCTAACATGTCCCCCACCACAGCCTGGGCCCTGGAAGCCCTGAGGGTGAGGACAGGCTGAGACACTGGAACTGAAGGGAGAAAGATAGTTAACCATCAGTTCATGCTGTTTAAATTTGTTCTTCCACAGAAAAGACATTTCAAACAGGAGAATGTTTTTCTGTTTTTAATGACCTTGTGACATCACTCAGAACTCAGCTATAATTTCTTCATATCTGAAGAAACAAATCATTTGTGTAGTGTTATATATAGTCTGGAATACTTCGATATACAATCGCAAAAGTGTTTGGGGAATCTGAAAACAGAGATTAAATTGAAACCCAAGTATCTGAGAAGTCAGAAGACAATTGGAGAAAAGGAGAAATCAGTTCAATAGAAAATGAGAAACAGGGGAGACTGCTGCTTACATAGCCAGAGATGTAACCGAGCCTTGGCCGCATCAAAAATAAGACCCAAAAGAGAATAAATATTGATCAAGTTATTGGCTCATTTTTATATTTATTCATTCATCAAAAATTAAGTGAGCAGTTTAAAAGTCTCAGGAACTACACAATATGCTGGGGATTCAATAGTGAGAAAGACACAGTTCCTGCCCTCATGAAGCCTGCAATCTAGTTGAGATGATAGAGAGCAATTAAATAGAAATACAAATACATAATTAAAACATTTATAATTGATACACAGTAAAGAATAGGATGCTGTGAAATGTATAATAATGGGGCCTGATCTAGTATGGGTTAGTCAGGTAATGCTTCCTCACAAAGTGACATCTGAATTAACCAGGTGAGGAAGGGAGTGAAGACTGCACAGGCAGGCAAACAGTGTGCGCAAAGGCCCTGAGCTGGGAAGAAGGTTGGAGCTTTTGAGCTGTTGAAACGAGGTGACAGCAGCAGTAAGAGAAGGGTTTGAAGAGTGCCATGAAATAGGAGGCTGGAGAGCTAGGCAGAGCTTCACAAGCCATGGTACGGATTTTGATCCTTCTTCACAGAGCAATGGGAAACCTGTAAGTGTCTCTATACAGGGGCATGAGATGATCAAACCTGTCTTTTTTAAAGACAATTTTGATCTCAGTGTGCAAAATGGATTGTAATGGGACAGAAATGGAATGGAGAGGTTATTAGGGGTGGAGTGGTGGCGTTGCAGTAATTGAAATGGTGGTAGATTTGACTATGATAGTGGCAGTAAAGATAGAAAGAAAAGATCCAAGGACTATTTTGGAAATAAAATCAATAGGAGTCAATGATTAACTGGCTATGGAGACCAAGGGAGAGAAATGGCAAGGAAGACTCCTGGGATTTTGCCTTGTATATATGGGTGAATGGATGTGTCTTTCACAGAGCTAGGGACACTTGGAGGAGGACCAGATATGGGGGGAGTTCCATGAGTTCAGTTTTAGAGATGTTCAAGTTCATGAGCCTTTAAGAGATATGGCATAGGCAGGTGCTCAGGTAGGAGGTCTCTTCTGGAGATAAAAGTTTAAGAATCATTTATAGATGACACCCCCAGGATTATCCAGAGAAAGAACATATGTAAGAGAAGAGGGTACACGCAGGACAAAGCTCTGGGACACACCAATGCTTTTAAAGTTTGTCTATAAAAGGAGGAGCTAGTAAAGGGAACTGAGAAGGAGTGGCAGAGAAAGGAGATCCAGGAGAAGGTGAAGTCATTGAAGCCAAGGAAGGGAGGGTTTCAAGAAGAAAGAAATACTATTTCTGAGAGACCAAGTAAGGTGAGGATTGGAAAATGGCCATTGCATCTAAAGCCATGGGGGTCATCTGTGACCTTTGTGAGAATCATTTTTTATATAAAGGTCGGAAGAGACCAAGTGTTAAATCCAAGAAGGTAAGGAGGAAATGGAGACAATCTGTGCAACTGACTCTTTACTGGAAGTTTAGCCATAATAGAGCAGTGGCTGGAGACATAAGTGGGACCAAGTTAGGGTTTTTTCTTAGACATGGGAGAGACATAGCATGTTAAATGTCAATGGGAAGGGTCCTATAAAGCAGGAGAGAAAGTTGTTCAAAGTGTCTGAGAATGCAAGGAAGGATGGACTCTAGAGGTGAGATGGAGATGTTCACCTTTCATAGGAAGCAGTCTTCTATACCTTAGGAAGAGGAGGGATGAGTTACTGGATGGATACAGAGACAAACACTCAAATGGTGGTGGGAGTCGAGGGTGTGATCGTCTGGGAGGAAGTAAAGGTGTTAATGAACTGGGGGTTCTGTTGAGGTCTGAGAAAAATAATGATTGGAGGATTTTACTTTTTTTAATTCCTGTATTCTTTTATTTTTTTTAAACATCTTTATTGGAGTATAATTGCTTTACAATGGTGCGTTAGTTTCTGCTTTATAACAAAGTGAATCAGCTGTGCATATACATATATCTCCGTATCTCCTCCCTCTTGCGTCTCCCTCTCTCCCTCCCTATCCCACCCCTCTAGGTGGCCACAAAGTACCGAGCTGATCTCCCTGTGCTATGTGGCTGCTTCCCACTAGCTATCTATTTTACATTTGGTAGTGTATATATGTCCATGCCACTCTCTCACTTCATCCCAGCTTACCCTTCCCAATCCCCGAGTCCTCAAGTCCATTCTCTACATCTGCGCCTTTATTCCTGTCCTGCCCCTAGTGATTGGAGGATTTGAAGAAACAAGTAGAGGGCTAGGAGGAGGTCATGTGATTGGAGTAGTGTACGTACGTGTCAGTGGGTGGCGGAAAGAATGACAAGCCATGGTGTCGAGTGGGTCATCCATGTGGACGAGTTATGGAATGATGACAGAGTGTAGGGTAGAGAGGAAGACTATGAGTGAGGTGCCAAGCCTGCACTGAAAGTGGGCATGACTAGGAGGTCAGCCCATGAGAGGCCAGGTAGGAGAGAGAGTGCTATAGCTGAATGAGAGGTAAGATGTCAGGAGAGTGATGTTGAAAGGTCTTTTAGCAGGAGTTCTGGCTGGAGGTCTGAGTTGCTCTGGGACAGGGTCAGGAGAAGCTAGAGAGAAATTCATGAGCCAGTGAAAGGATGAGTTGGCCTTTTTATTGATTGACTGACAAAGGAAACTCCAACTAAATCTCTTCTGAGGTGAGACATGTTGAACTTTATAATTTCCTTTCTTGCTGATCATTGTTGGCCAGGATGCAATTTGTGTTTTAAAAGCCTTTATTCGTACGTTAGGAAACTTTTAGTCACAATGCCTTGCACTGCTGCTACCAAGAGAGGCAAAGCAAGCAAAGGGAAGGTGCGAGTTCCTGAAAATGTAGAATACAGAACTCTCAGTTGGAGGCTGTGTAGCAATGATGTCACACAGCAAATGGCCCTGGGGTACCTCCAATCTTGGCTACAGGTGAAGGTGGGGGAGATGGTCTGTCCCTGGCTGTGCTGTAGTTGGGTCCACTTACCTCTGACAGTGAGTGACACTGTGTTACTGCGCTGGAACCCCTGGCCATTGTTGGCCTCACAGAAATAGTTCCCAGAATGCTCTGCTGTGAGAAGGAGGTTGAAGGAAGCTCCCCTTCCAAAGGAGCTTGAGCTGCTCTCCAGGCTGACATCCTCATGATAAAAGTGGTACCAGATCGGGGGAGAGCCTCTCTGGGCCTCACAGTGAAGCTCCATCATGTCCCCCACCACAGCCTGGGCCCCGGGAGCCCTCAGGGTGAGGACGGGGTGAGATACTGGAACTGAGAGCAAAAATGAGTTAGTTGATACCAAGATCTTTTCCAATTGACTCTATTTTTATTTTTCAGAAGTTACCTCTGATGATTATTTGGTGACACTTTCTAGATCTTTTCTATGTGTAAGAACTCTTATTCTTATCAACACATAAACAAATGCATAAAAAACCCACATACATGCATGGGATCACAGTATACATACTGGTCTATGACCTGATTTTTCCCCTTAGCAAAATATCATGAGCATCATTCTGTGTTATTACCTAAAGATCTATCTCAGTCACTTAAAAAATCAGCTTTATTGAGGTATAATTTACATGCATAAAATGCAACTCCTCTAAATTTAAAATTTGATAATTTAGGGTAAATATTGCTTGATTATTTTTAACAACAGCAAAGCATTCCATGGTATGAATTTACTGTAATACACTGAAGCAATTCCTCATTATGGAACTTTAGGTTGTTATTGTTTTCTAATTTTGAATAAGGCTGCATTACACAATTCTGTATATATATCATTGTATTTTGTCAATGCATTTCTTAGGATAAATTCTTCGAAGTGGGATTTCTGGGATTGGGATATGGGCATTTCAAATAATGATATATAATGCTAAATTTTTCTTCAGAAAGTTTCAACCAATTTACACTTGCACTAATAGTATGTAAGAGTTTCCTTTCCCCACTCTCTGATCAATTATAGTCATATAAATGCACAGGCTTATTTTTCTTATCATTTCTCTTTTCCTAGTTTTAAACTCTACAGTTGTTCCATCTGAAGAATTGACTTATTCTATCCTATGGGACCTTACAGTTTATTATTTGATTTTTTATGGACTGCTAGTGAACTATAATACATTAATGATGAGTTGTTCTCTATAAAGTATCCAGAAATTATTTACAAAATGAAAACTTTGAAATCTGTCATTAATTTTTCTAAATTATCAAGTCAATTTTTGTTCTCCATTATGAAATAATAATAATCATGAGAAAATTGGTTTTTTAATTTCCTCTTCTCCCTCTGACTGATTTTCCTTTGTTACATATATTTTTTACATTTTCAGCATTTATAATAGTTGCTTTCTCTTCTGTAACCATAACTCTCATGTTGCTTAGCCTTTATTTTTATGTCTGAATCAGTGGTTTTCAACCATATCTGTATAATATTTTCAACTGAGGATGTGTTAAAAAATATGGATTCTGAGACCCCATCTGAGAGATTCTGAATTTAATTGGTCTGGAGAGAGCTTAGTAAAAAGTCTTTTTTCAAAATTCCTAGGTGATTCTAATATGTAGCCAAGGCTGAGAACTACTGATCTGAATAGATTCAGTATTCACTTTTCATATCATAGTTTCCTCATTTGGAGTCTTTTATATTGATTCATACCTTGGCTGGCTAGAGTTTGTCATCAAGTAATTTTTCAAGAAGCGTTAATGGGTACTAAGTTCCCTGAATTCTTGCACGTTTGAAAATGTTTTTTTGATTTGATATAAAATTCTCAGTTCTCATTTCTCCTCTGAAAGTCCAAGTCTGAATACCATTCCTCTCTCTTTTAGCATTGACTTCTGTGTAAAGACTAAGACCAACTGCATATTTTTTCTTTTTGAGATGACTGCTATTTTTTCTTTTGTTTTGCTGTGATCACACACACGCGGGCGCGTGCACACACACACACGTATATTTTTAGCCTTGAAAGTCAATAACCTCATCAGGATATGTCTTTTGATATACATATTCAAGTTTTCTTCACTTCAGGAAACTTTTTTATTATGTCTTTGAGTTTTGTTTCTCTCTTTAGACACTTAATTATCCACACTTGTGGGCTTCATTGTCTGATCTCCATATTTTACTTTCTTTTTGCCTTTTTCTGTGTCTTTCTACTTTGTGTTCTGTATTATTTTCTCAAACCAATTCTCCATTCCAGTAACAGATTTTGGAAGTATGCATTCTCTTCTTACTGCTTCAAATTTGGATTTTATTTTTAACATAGGTTTGGTTTTTCTCCTGAGCTCTGTTATATATAACATCTTTATTGGAGTATAATTGCTTTACAATGGTGTGTTAGTATCTGCTTTATAACAAAGTGAATCAGCTATACATATAAGATTCTCATATTGGACTTGTTTTCTTTATGGCTTTTACTTCAATGAATAAAATTATATTCTGAGTTTTGTATTTGCTTGAGAAAGCTGTGTGTGTGTATGGGGGGCGGGTAGTGTTTTAGTGACCCAGGGCTGTTGATAGATTCAAAATGGGTATATCTTATTAACTTACATTCCCAAGAAATTTCTGTGTCTTCTCTTTGGGGTATATTCCCTTGGGGAAAAAAACAACCCAGATTATTCTGCCAGAAAGTCTGCATGGCTCACAGTGAAGCTTCTCAACTTGTTTGCTAATTTAGGGCTCATTTACTTCTGTTCAGTTGATATAAACAGTTGCAAAGATCAATGTTTTCTCCCTGCTCTTTTTTTCCTCATCTCATCTCAAAGCCTTTTTGTTCATGGAGTTACAAATGCTGACTGAGGACCTACTCTATGCCAGACACCAAGTAGGCACAGGGATGAGGTGCAGACCAAAACTGATAAGGTTCCATTCTCATGAAGCTTATACTCTGGTATTGAGGAAGACAGACACTAAATGGGAAATAAAGGGGTTTCAGATATTGCTAAATTTGAGAAGAAAATACAGCATCATAATGAGAAAGAGGATGTCTTAGGGCTTGGGGCTTTCCTAGGTAGATTGGCTTCAGGCTTTGGAGTCTGGGCCTCAGATCATTTACATTTTTAAAATAACCTCTTTATTCAACAATTTATATTGGGATAATGTCTTCCTTTGGCCATGTTTTATTTCTATGATCTGAAACAGCTATCGAGGAGCAAGAGGTCCTTCAGATCCATATGTTCCAAGATAGGACCATAGTAATAAGAACTCCATGTGGACTCATGGGTTCCTAAGACCACAGACTATAACAGAAACTTGCCTAATTTACAAATTCTGACCAGACCACACTTGCAGTTACAATCACACTCTGACCAATTCCTGCTCCCAAAGCCCTAAAAGTGCCTCACCTAACTCCCTGCTGTGAGAGATGATGAGACTCTGTGAAACTGATGCTCTCCCTTGCTTTGCCAGGTAAACAAGCCCAGCTCTGGGGCACCCACAGATTTCCCTGGTTGTCTTGTCTGGGGCTTTGACGAGTGTCGCTCAGCCTCTCCCTCACTCTGTTTCTTCCAGAGCTTCATGAATTCATGGCCTTTGGGTTCCTATTCCAACTCGAATCACAGAATTCTGGGGCTCTAAGGGACACTAATTACTGTCTTATCTAACTTTCAATAGAAGATGAAAACAGCAAGACAAAGAAAATTTAAAAGTTTTGCCCAAATTATGAGCTAGCTATTTTCATATCCAGGGCTAGAATTCAGATTTTCTGACCCACGCTGACATCAGACAACCGGAGCAAGGTGTTTTTCATGTACACTGGCTCTTTCTAGGAAACCTCAGAGGTCCTGCTGTGCATATCATTCCTAGAAAAAGTATTTTCTTAAAAGTAGTTCATTACATGTCATGTTGTCCCAAGTGACCCTGCTCTCTTGGCCATCATTTGTTGAATTAGAGGTGAGCAGTTGGTTTAAGAACATTCTACATATAGACTTGCCAGTGGCCTATGAGGTGTCTTAGAGCTAGGCTGCTTGACTAGTTAGACTAGTTGGAAGCACCGTTTTGGCAGTTGGGGCAGACGCTGAAATACAGAGCAGGACGTCATACCTAGAAGTCCAAGGCAGTCAATGCTGAAATTAACAGGAGTTTTGAGTAAAGATAAGTTATAAGATAGAGTCATAAGAATGAGGGTGGAAAGCACTTAGGAGCAGTAAGAACAATGGGTCAGAAGGACATAGAAAGGAAATAGCTAATGGGCCTAGGAGTAGAGAATAATGAAAGCTTCTAGATCCTCAGACATCAGTATAATCTGTTTTTGAGAAATAAGTTGAATTCTGAGAGATCTCCCAGTTCTTATTCCATGAATCTGAATATAATGTCTTTCCTGTTTTTTGTTTTGTTGTTGATTTTTTTTTTAATCCCTGGATATCCTTAACAAACCCTCACCCACGGGAGACATCAGGGTTTTTTTCTTCTGACCTAAAATGATCTGATATACCAGATTCAAGATTTTTCTATTTATATTTCTCTTCTCTGAAAAGAAAACTGAACTTTCACTCTCTACTAACAAAGATTCCAAGTGTAAACAGAAGCAATTTTGCTCCTAAAATGACACTTTTTCATGGTTCCATGGGAAACCATGATCTGTACAACTATGGTTCATATACCTTTATAAATGTATGTCATACTGCAACAAAAAATTTAAAAACATAATACAATGAAATGACACTTATTTTACTGGGTTAAGTCAAAGGATCACGGAAACCCCAGAAAACAAATGAGCTGGTTTCCAGGAAACAATTTCCTCCCTTCCCTTCACCTTCAGCCCTCTTTAAACCTACTGGAAGAGCTTGAACTGCTTGAGAACACTTTGGAGAAAGTAAGGTCTTGCCCACTATATGCCCATATGACTGTGCTTGTAGCTAAATTAATATGTAAGTGTTATTGGGGAAATATGAGATGCTTCTGTGCATGGAGTTAAGAGAAATTGGCTTGGAGACTGAACATACAGGGCCTGAGAAGATAATTTGAGAAAACAAATTCATTTGGTAAAAGCTGGGGGAGGTGCTGAGCTATCATAGGGGTCTGGCTGAGCCAGGGATGGGTGAGGATTAAGGCCCACAGATAGCTGGTTCTATAAGAAGGGAACCAAGACAGGCATGAGGTTGACTGGGGTAGGAAACTGGAAGATCCATGCAGACCTCTGAAAAGGTTGGTGTGAGAGGGTCAGGGATGGGTCACTGACAGGAATCCAGAGCTTACTGGTGACAGAGAGTCTCAAGGTCTCACTGCTCTGGAGGCCAAGGCCATTGTCAGCTGTGCAGTAGTAGTTCCCAGAATGCTCTTCAGTCAGAGAGAATCTATAGGACATTGTTCTCCATAAAGTAGCTTCTATCTTCATGAGCAGCACACCTTCATGAAAAAACTGATATCAGATGGGCAGAAAACCTCTCTGAGCTTCGCAGTCAAAGCTCACCTCATCTCCCACAAAAGTCCAGGTCCCAGGAGGGCTGAGGGTGAGGACAGGTTGAGACTGAGTGAAAGAAACACTTAGTCAACAGGTGCATCTGACACTTCTTGGAGCTTTAAATCAGTGGCTAGTGAGATGTCCAGTCTGAAGTCCACTGGCCCTCAGGGCAGCCCAGTGCCTCCCAGGCTTTTCTCCCCAGCTCTCTCCTGTTTTCCATGCTGGTCTTCTCCTTTCCCATCAGACCTGGCCCTTCTCCTGTCTCCCTTTGTTAGGTGACCCTCATTCTTGTTTTCCAGAGGAAATGATGTTCTCTGGGAAGAAGTCCCTTATTTTGCTCCACCAGACTGACAGATTTACCTTGTTCCTTCCCTTTGCCATATGACCATGGAAGATCTGTTCCCTCACCTGCCAAGCCTCTCTGAGTCTTCTTATCAGTCCCTGCTCTACACTTCTCCCTTTGCTGGGATTGGCCTCAGGCCTCTGCCCTTGGTCCATTTCTGTTCCAGATTCACATACTCTTCCAGGACGCTCTCTTCTGTTCCTACACTCTCCCTGCATCCAGCCTGACCCTCTCTATTTACAGGTGAGAAAACTGAGTCAGGAAAAGGTTAGGAGATCCACCTGTAGTCCCTCAGCAGGCTGTTTTCAGGGCCAGATAGGACCTGAGTCTGTCTCCTTACTCATGGTCTAATGCTGAATCATATCATCTCCTTGAAAGTGGAACTGGAGTTTGCCACCAATGAAGGAAACAGCATACGGCTCTACAGAAGTTATTTTCCTCTCACTACCACAACTACCTTAATAGCTTTCAGCGTAAGATGGCATCAGATACTGGTAAAGTAGGTGGTGTAGTTTGGGGTGGTGTAGTAACCATAGTTACATGGTTGGAGTAACTGTGATGTTGCTACCTGTCTGTATCCTACATAGATTTGCACATTGGTTATTGCCAATAATTAATTGTTGATTGGAACAACAGATATCTCCACAACTCTGGGATAGAGAAATGATTTGAGAACTATTAAGATTGATTGGAAACTCAAGCACCTGGGGATTTGAAGGATAAAGAAAGAAAAGAGAAAAACAGTGAATTCTGTAGATGCCAGGGACCAAGGAGGGGGAGAGAGACAGATGCTACAGACTTATTAAGGGGTGTGATGGTATCTGAACTTGTTGAAAGATGAGGCCACAAGATAGAGACAGTTGTTCAAAGGCCTGGGAACCAATGGGGATATTAGAATGGTGTTATGGACTGAACTGTGTCCCTTCCAAATACATATGTTGAAGCCCTAATCTCCAATATGACTGTATTTGGAGATAGGGCCTTTAAGGAAATAAATGTCAAATGAGGTCATAAGGGTGGGGCCCTAATCAGATGGGACTGGTGTCCTCATAGAAGAGGAAGAGAGAGGCCTCTCTCTCTCCCAGGGCACAGAGGAAAGGTCATGTTAGGACACATAGATGAAGTGGCCTACCACAAACCAGAAAGAGAGCCCTGATTAAATACCAATCTTACTGGCACCTGATCTTGGACTTTTAACATCCAGAACTGTGAGAAAATATATTTCTGTTGTTAAACCACCCAGTCTGTGGTATTATGTTATGGCAGCCTGAGCAAACTAATATAGATGAATTGGGGAAGAAGCAGGAAGTAGGTAAGGGAGTAGAGATTTGTTGGGATTCAGTAAGAGGAAGATTAGACCCAGGAATCGCTGGACTATTTTTTTTTTGATTGACAGAAAAATCAAAGACTGCGTATCATCTAAACCAAATAATGGTGAACTCTGACAGCATCTGGACCCTGAAAAGTTTTCATAGCTATGTTAGGAGAGTTTTGGTCAGACTGTGTATTTTACTGTTGATGATTCACTGTAGGGAATTCCTGAGAGTGTGGTCACAGGAAGGAGCTCAGATCTGCCAAGCAGAGGCAATGAACCTGCCGTGGTGCCACGTGAACCAAAAGCCTGTGAATTTCTGAAGCTGCAGTCTTTAGATTGTGGGGTAACAAACAACCTGATCCTGTGACTTCTGGTGGTCAGACTTAACTCACTTCTGATGGAGAGTGGCCTCTCCTCACTGCCTGGGTCCCCAGGTCATTGTCTGAGTACAGGAGTCATTCCCAGAATGTTCTGTGGGCAGAGAGATTTAGGGAATTCCTCTACTATAGGGGTCTGGGGTCCTCAGGATTTCAGCCTCATGATAAAACTGATACAGAATTGAAAGAGAGGCTCCCTTGGTTTCACAGGAGAGATCTGGAACTCTATCTCATTCTTCCCAATATCCTGTGCCCTAGGAGCCCTGAGGGTGGTGAAAGGATGTGTCATCTGGAACTAAAAGAGACAACGAGGTAGTGGGAGGTAGGGAATCCCTGCACATCCTTAAATCAATGAGGCTTATGAAGACACATGGTCCCAGATTGTTCCAGTTCTAAAATTCTGTTTGTTCTGGCTTTATCCCAGGAGCCACTGCATTTAAGCTAAAAAGTAATTTGTAAATATGAAGAGTCCAGACATATGCCAATCACTGAGTACTTTCTCTGACCTCCATTTCTAGGAGTTTCCAAAAGCTCCCATAACTCCTTCTATCCCTAAATCCCACTCCTGTTAGTTTCTAACTTCTGGTAGATTATTCAGAGTAGTAAATTATTGGCAACTATCAACATTCACTCCCACCCAACCACCTTGTGGTTTTCATGAAGTTTGAAAAGCCATCCCTCAGACAATATCTGGCAGACACACCTTTCACATTGATGGTCACTGGGTCACTGCGGAAGGAGGAGCGACTATTGCTGGCAACACAATAATACTCTCCATCATGGCTGTTTTGCACCACAGGGATCTTGAATTCTGTTTCTGAGGAAGTGTGAAGCTTTCTTTCTGTCCTCAGCTTGAATTTTCTGTACCAAGAAACTGTGATGGGGCCTGGAACTCCATTTACTGAGCAGATGAGCACCAGCTCCTGCCCTTCAAACACCAACTTTGGGCGAGAGTATATACGGATGTCAGGAACAACTTCTAAATGAATAAAAATGACACGTGGGATTCTTGGTATTGGGGTGTCACAGAATGAGTCATAGAAGAAGAGTCTCAGAATGGGAGGGGCTAAGTCTGCTGACCCGATGGGAAGTTGGCCTGGAGTAGAATTGGGCTTGTTCCTTGGGACGAGGGAGAAAGTGGTGGAGCGACTGTGGTCCATCCATGGTTTGGGAGAACTTCAACTCCCTAATGAAATGGTGGAGCATCTGGCACAAGAAAAAGAGGCAACCCTGCCCACCCTCCCCTCATGCCCTACCTGTTAGAACATGGACTAATCATTCTAGAAATTACACCCGGTGCCCAACAGTGGTGTTGCTTGGGGGGGGAAGTGGTGGATGGTGAAGGGGACAGGAAGACCTGCCATCAGAGGTGCTTGTTCTGAAGCTGTGACAACTGCAATGGCTAGTTGGAAATCAATCATTGGCATATACAGAAAGCTTGCCCTGGAATAAGCACTTCTTAACACCTCTGCCAGTCAGTTAGATGGTCAGAGGAGGTGGACACATAACAGTCCTCCTAAAACTGGGAAAATCTGTGATGAAAGTGTTCTATACTCCAGGTGGTTGTGGTTTTACACTAGGATGTTGGCTTAGGGCGGTGCCTTTCTGAGTCATCCTGGGGGCTTGAAGAACAAGGGAAGATACCTGGGAACAGAGAGGGAGTAGGGTTTGAGACTGGGGTTCCATCAATTATGCTAGGGGAGATCCTATGCTAGAAATTACTATTTTGCAACTGTTGGGTAACACCCTCTCCACTTCCTCTCAATTTTCCAGTCCAAACCAGGGACCTAAGAAAAACCTGTTGCCTGTGACTGGAGAACAAAGATTAATAAATTCTGGACAGTTTAGAAGAAACATAGAACCTTCTTTTTTGCTTAGGAATGGGAGTGAATTTATGGAGAATGCTACCGCTTTCACCCCTTCCTCATTCAGGAAAGCATGCACCCCAGATCTGCATCTTTCCTAATGCTCAAACACGTTTCCTATGAGGTGGGTCAAACTTAATCAGAAGAGGCATTTGACAATTGGTTAGCAGTCATGCATGAGGACCTACACTGTTTCAGAGACGTAGGGAAAAGTAATCGTGGGTAAAACACCATCCTTAAAGACAGCAAGTTGAAACTATTTACTCCCCAATCTCTTGTCCTTTGTTTTTTTATTCTTAAGTGCTCTGCTCCAGGGATCTAGCATTCTAGGAATCTGTCCATCTGGCTGAGCAGAGTCCATCCAGCCCAGTCGGAGGGCTCTGCCATATCCCATGGCTTATGCCTATAGGCCTACCAGGAAAAAAAAAAATGGTGTCAAGGAAGAGAAACTTCAGAAGAAAAAGAAAGAGTTGTATCTCATGGGATTGAAAGAAAAAAATAAACAACTGTTGTGCCACTCTGCCCGGCTCTTCCCAGCCCCAGTCTTAGCAAGTCTCACCTCACTAACACTTACTTTTCACCTGTATCTGTAATCTCTGGCTCTGTTTCTGGACAGAGGAATTCATGCTCTGTGCCTGGCACCAGTAAGACCCTGAGTTTTCTCTCCATATGGTGTGGATCCAGAATTCTGGGGAGCTTCCCCAGCCTGACCCCAGGGACCGTCTGTCTCTGAAGAAGTGAAACTGGAGCTGGACATCTGGCCTCTGTGGAGAGAGCTGGGTCTCACAGGTCAGAGTCACTGCTCCTCCTTCAGTGGGCTGGGTGGAGCTGGCTCTCAGCACAGGACGTGGAAACAGCTCTAGAGAGAAGAATCAAAACAGTCCCTGGAGCAGGAAGGCTTGTAACTGCTCTGGAGAAAAACACAGTTCATCCTCAGCACGAGCAAGCAGAGCATACAAAAGCAGGCAGAAGAGATGCTACCTTTGATTACTAATATCCTTCAGCCCAAAGCACAGTAGTACTTTCTCTGTTCCTTGTAGGACTGTGCCCTGAGGTTCAATGGTATTACAGTCCACCCTCTTTATCCTCTACAATCTCAGGGGTCCTCCTTTAGACTAACCTATTTCACAAAATAATGAAGGCTTTACCTTGGACTTCGATTTTGACCGAGTTTGAAGAAACCAACTGATCATCTTCCTTAACTCCAGTACAGTGATATTTGCCATTGTCCTTCAGGCTTGCCTGATGAATATGGAAGTCAGTCAACATTCCCACTGATATCTCCACAGTGTGATCTTCCAGGACTTTTCCATTCTTGTACAGCTTTATAGTTTTCAGTCCTGTGTTTGCCTTTGCTCGGCATCTCAGAATTACAGATTCTTTTTCAAACACATCAAGTGGAGCCTGCAGGATCAGGTTGGCTGTAGGAAACACATGGGCAGTTATTTGTTTCATCTGATTGTTTCTCCCTTCTTTTCATTATTATTCCAATAGATTTTATAAGAGAGGGACTAGGAAAAAGGATTCTTAAAATAATTATCATTTCTTTTTTTCTGGTCTTATCGATCTATCTATTTCATATTTTATTTTTTGGCCATGATGCACGGCTTGCGGGATCTTAGTTCCCCAGCCAGAGATCAAACCCGTGCCCCTGAAATGGAAGTGCAGAGCCCAAACCACTGGACCACCTGGGAATCCCTCTTTTTTTCTGGTTTTAAAAGGAACACATACGTTTGAGAAAATTTTGTAAACGGAAATGTAAATTAATCTTATCATCTCACCACCCAGATTTTTTCAAGTTCTTTTTTCTATGTGCATGTATATGAGAGTCTGTGTGTATTTCTTTTCTTTTTATGAAATTAAAATATTTATCTACTTGATAACTTGCTTTTCACTTACTTTGCTATGAACACTTTCCTATGTCATAAATATCATTCCCTAATCTGGTTTTCAATGACCACAAAGTTTTCCTACAATGGCAGTAAGGTAATTTATTTAATGAGTTTTCTTTTCTTGACCATTTAATGTTCTTCAATTTTGGTTGTATATATCTATGATTATTTCAGTAGGTAAATTCTTAAGAGGGGAATTATCAGGTCAAAGAAGCTCTTAGCTCTTTGCTACTATACTGCTTCCTTGTTCACTAAATTAAAGAGCATTATAACTAGAAAGATACTGCTTCAACTCAAAACAGGTGGCTTTAGGACAGAAATGGAAATTTCTGTCTATCTATCTAACTATCTATCTAACTATCTATCTATCTGTCAAATATTAGCAAATCCTCATGTAGATTATTATTCCTAATAAATTTTATAAGCCTCAAACTATACATAGTTTCAGAAACCATTCAGATAAATTGCTTCTCAAATTTCCTTTTTCCTGAGCAGCTTGTAAAATATATAAATTCCTGGGCCCTATTTCTATAGCTTTTGAATTAGTAAATCTAGCTGAGTTCTGGGTAACTTTATTATTTCTAAACTTTGTTCTTTCATTTCTTTCCCACCTGGAGAAAAGAACAAGCCCACACGATTACTCAGGGGTGAGTCCTGGGCCTGGCATCTGTAATCTCCAGATTCATGGACCTCATGGGTGTTTCCTGAGGTTTCACTTTGTGTTTTTTCCAGAAGATACCAACGGTACCATTTTATTTTCTCTGATGCATCCAAGTGAAATGCTTTGCAAGTCAGTGTCACATTCTCTCCTTGGAAGACAGTGGTCCATGGAGAATGGAGGAAAATTACAGATTTTGGTTCAGTTGCTGTGGATGAAAGAGAAAGAATTTGAGGTGGAGCGGCCTGCAGTCCCCATCACAGTGGTTTGTGAGGCCCAGGCTGGAGGTCCTGGCTTTGGAGAATCCCTAAGAAATCCCCCTGGGAAGGTCACTGATTGCTCAAGTCTGTGTTTCAACCAAAGCACTCACCCAGCAGAAAGTGATTGCTGAGGGGATGACAATGAGCAAAATTATTTCAAGAGGGTGATACCAGGCAAGGTTCACTGCCAAATGTCAATGGGAAAAAAATGGTAGGTTAGTCTGTTATGGAATTGGATCCTGGGAAATGTCATCCCCTGCCCCTGCCACTTCATCATGTTCATAAACTCATAAGAACTTCCCAGGGAGTTGTTAAAATCACAATTTTTCACTTTCCAAAAAAGGATAAATCATATTAAGATTTTGGCACTGGAAAAAGCTTGAGAGATTAACTTGTCTAACACCTTCATCTTATAGATCATGTCCAGGAAATGCCCAGAAAAATCCCATCATAGCTAATTGTGGTAGAGCAAGGAATGGACAAGTTGTTAGCTAGAATCCAGAGGTGATCTAATTAAGGATGAAACACTGGGCAGCTGATTTTGGACAGGAGAGAGGTGGTAGTGAATTCTTGCTATTTATGGGTCCTCAAATAGCCAAAATACTCTGACCCAGAAGATTGGCAATTAAGTGTTAGAACTTAAAAAAAATGTGGGATACAGACAATTTGTCTTCTCCCTCAATCTCCTCTTTTTGTGTATTTCTTCCTTTTAAGGGACCATTTGTTGGATGTTCTTATGCTCCCCACACATTTCCTGGAGGATTTTACTCCTAAAACTTCAGAGAAGGCAACATTCCCACTGGTATCTCCACAGTGTGATGTTTTCAGAGAAGTTTTGCAGGCTTGCTGATTGGAGAACGTCTTATCCCAAGTCCTGCACATTTGATATGGAGTTAAGATGTCCTGCCTTGTTATCTGGGGTCCATTTGCAATAGGAGTAAGTGCAGGACCTAGTGAAGGCCAGGAGTTGCTTGTACATTTGCTGCTTCTTCCAGGGAGGGTCAGAGGATGACCACATGGCTATCCTGGCTCTTAGGCAATGCCAATAGACCAGGTGACACTTTCACATCTTTGCCGACCTCAGCAAGAGAAACAGGAGATATTAGAGATCCTCAGGCAATCATCACAAATATTTCATATTTATTAGGGAGACACTCTTATCCAGGGACACTGAAGTACATAAGAAAGGAGAACTCACCAAATTGTCCACTGACAGGAGCTGTAAAAATATAAAGAGCCAGAGATGAGCACAGAGCAAGGAATCTTTGGCTTTTCAAAGGGAATGCTTGTTTTTTTTTCATTCATTTATTATTTCTTTCATTAAAATTTATTTTTTAATGTAATAGTCATTTGTCAAATGTCTATTTATACTGGTCATTGTGCTTAGACTAAAGCGTGAATAAAAAAGATGAATAAAAAAATGGTATCTGATAAAAGAAGTTGATTGGTGGGATAAACAGAAACCCTAAGCAAAATAATATAATTATAATATAGGGTATAAGTGCAGTAACAGAAATACACATGGGCATCTTGAAGGCAGAAGGGTCACCCATCCCAGTATGTAGGGTCTGTGTATGTGAGTCAGTGTGTGGCAAAGAGGGTGGGTGGGCGATGAAAGATACCTGAAGGAAGTGATGCTTGAGAAGACTGAATGAGAACATAGGAGTCAGCCGGGCAAAGGTGTCTGTGTGTGGCAAGAGCTGATGGGGGGTGTAATTAAGACAGAAAGGGCACAGATGTGAAGAAATAGCACTGGTGTTTAGAAGTTGAATGCAGCAGTGGTTCTGGAAGGTAGAGAGTTTAGGGGAAATCAAATTAGACAGATAGGCAGGGCCTAAGTTATGGATAGTATGTAGCTATGGTTTCATCATAAAAGTAACAGGGAGCCATGGAAACGTTTCAAGTAGGAAAGTGACAAGATTAAAAGTTGTAACTCGTTGGAGCACTCTGGCAGACGTAAAGCAGAAGGACTGGAGGGAAGGCAGAGCAACAGATGATGATATTTAATTTTCTTCAGAATGTTTATCTGAAATTATCTTATTTGCTTGCTTACTTGGTTTGTTTACTTTCCCTTCTCTAGAATAGAAACTATGTGAAAGCAGGGACTTCTCATGTTCACCAAATATCACGAAGAATTTATAACAGTGCCTGGCTTAGAAGAGACATTTCATAAACATTTATTGAGTAATGAATTAATTAAAGTACTAAGTTAGTAAGTATCTCTACTTGGGAGAATACAGGTTTGAGAAAGGGGTATTGGAGAGGCAGAGGAGGCAAAATTGACTAGTTTGTAAACTGATTACCCATTCCAGATGAGGGACAGATTTGATTCATTCATTCAACAGAAATTTGTGGAATGCCAACTGTATCTAGGAACTGGACAAGACAATGGGAATCCAGCAGTGAGCAAAAGGGATATTATCCCTGTCCACATGGGGATGATGAGAAATAATCCAAACCTAAGTGTTATAATCAGAGCAATGGATTATTTGCCATTTTCTAAATATCTTGGCACCATGGATTTGTATTGTTTTATAAGTAGCTAATATTTTTCTGAGTGTATTCTCTGTGGTAGATATTCACACACATTATTTCATGTAATCTTCCTAACTATCCCTATGAGGAAAGTTCTATGATTATCCCCATTTTACAGACCAGAAACTGTTTAAGTAGCTGTTAAGGGCAGAATTGAGTTTTTAACCCATTTATTTGAACCCATCCTGTTTGACCCCAAAGCACATGTTCCTGGCCTTTACCCTATCCTGCTCCTTTGTTTTGGTGCCACACTAGGATGTGCTTCCTATTTCTGGAGTATTCCATGCAGCTTCCAACTATGGGGTCTTTTTTTCTCACATTGTGCTGCACCTCATCCCTGCCCCCTCCATCTCCTACTGTCTATCTGTTTCATGAAGTCATTACCAGCTACTTGGCATATAGTTTGTTAACCACTTATACGATCATTGGTAACTTTGCTTGGACAATTGTTTAACTGAGATCTTGTTACATAGATATTTCTTGTACATTGGCCTTGTTGAAGGTCCTTCTATATTATGAGCTTCCTAAGCACAGAAATGCTGCCTCCTGTGTCTTCCCCTCATTCTCAGCACCTAGCATAGTGCTGTGTATTAATGTTACTAAATAATTTGTTGAACAAATGAATAAATATGTTTTATTCTAATATTTTCAACTTTGGTAAAAAACGAACCAGGTGATATGTGTGAATTGATAGACTTATACACACCCACAGGCACAAAGAGAATGTCACATGTTGGGAGTGACATGAACAAGATGGTAGAAGAGGAGGTCTCTAGTCTTTGTCTCCACCCTCTACAGAAACAAAGTTTTGGCAGCCATCTACAAACAAAAACTGAGAGCTTTGAGATCTAGAGATTGCGAAACCCCATTGGAGCCCGAGACCAAGGAGGGCCACTTTGAGAAGACAAGCACATGCGCTGGTAGAAGACTCACTGACTATGATCCCAGCTACAGACTGAAAGCTGCCTTATTCTCCTGTAAACTCAACTCTAGCTCCACTTGTCCATGGTCCTGCCACAGCCTTTTCTACCGAGGAATCCATGCTCATCCATGCCCTTGGTAGCAAGCCCACCAGCCTCAGACCTGAGTTCTATTGCCGAAGCAGTTCTGTGACCGAGATCCAGTCCCACTCTACTGTAGTCCAAAGCAGTCTTGCCTGCCCAGGGTTCTACCCAGGGACCCAGTGAAAGCCACACCTGTAAGCACCCCTGACAACAGAACTTCATGTCTTGAACTTGACTGTGATCCTAAAGCCATCCTGTGACCAAACTCCAGTACCACTCTACTGAAGTTCAGGGAAGTCCTGACTTCCCAGGGACCAGCCAAACAACCCAATGAGAGAATGCTCAGGGACCTAGCAGAAATCACACCCATCCATGCCCTTGGTAACAGGCTTGCCAACTTCAGACCCAAATGCAGACCCAGCAATAACCATGAGATCCAGCTCCAGCCAAGCTCAACCATGATCCTGGAGGCAGTCCTATAAGTTCATGGAAGAAGCAAGAGTATTTAACAGTTCAAACAAGTAAATACCAGAAAGAGTGTCTGCTTTTCTAAATTCACAGACACCAATGCAGAGCTACACAGATCATATTTGTCAGGCAAATATGACAACATCAAAGGAAACTAATAAAGCTCCAGTAACTCCCCTAATGATCCATGAACTGCTTGACTAACATTTCAAAATAATAGTCTTAAAGAAGCTCGATGAACTATAAGAAAAAGCAGACAAGTAAATTAATCCACAAACAATAGATAAACAAAATGAGAAGTTTAACAAAGAAATAGAAAACATAAAAAAGAACCAAAACAGAAATCTTGGAGCTAAAGAATACAATGACTAAGCTGAAAAATTCAGTAGACACCTTCAATAGCAGAAGTGCTCACGCAGGAGAAAGAATCAGTAAATTCAAAGACAAGCCATTTCATATTACCCAGTTAGAGGAACAAAAAGAAAGAAGACCAAAAAAGAGTGAAGACGACCTAGGTGGTTTATGGGATAACATTAAACCAATCAATATATGCATTATTGAAGTCCCAGAAGGAGCAGAGAATAAGAGCGAAAGATTGTTTAAAGAAATAATTAAAAACTTCCCAAATCTGGGGAGGGAATTGAACATCTAGATCCATGATTCCCAAAGGATCCCAAATAAGCTAGACATCAAAAGGTCCAAGACATATTATAATCAAACTCTCAAAAGTCAAAGACAAAGAGAAAGTTTTGAAATCAGCAGAAGAAAAGCAACTCATCACACACAAGGGAACCCTAATAAACGTACAGTGGATTTATCAGTAGAAAAATTTCAGATCATGAGAGAGTGGGATAATTAAAATACTGAAAGAAAAAAACCCTGCCAACCCAAAGTACGATACATGGCAAATCTGTCCTTTGAAAATGAAGGCGAGATAAAGACTTCCCAAGATAAACAAAAGCTGGGAAATGTTAACTACCATAAAACCTGTTGTAAAGAAAAGCTAAAGGAAGTTCGTCAAGTTGAAATTAAAGGACACTAACTAGCAACATGAAAACACATGAAATTATAAAATTCACTGTTAAAGGTGAGTATATATATGGTTTGACTTATGATTTTTCAGCTTTGTGATGGTGCAAAAGCAATACGCATTTGGTAGAAACCATACTTTGAACTTTGAATTTTGATATTTTCCTGGGCCAGCAATATGTGGTATGATACTCTCTTGTGATGCTGGGCAGCAGCAGTGTGCCAGAGATCCCAGTCAGCCACACAGTCAAAAGGGTAAACTTACAACAATTCTGTATCTATACAGTCATTCTGTTTTTCACTTTCAGTACAGTATTCAATAAATTACATGAACTATTCAATACTTTACTATAAAATAGGATTTGTGTTAGATGATTTTGCCCAACTGTAGGCTAATGTAAGTGTTCTGAGCATGTTTAAAGCAGTTTAGGTTAGGCTATGATATTCAGTAGGCTGGGTGTATTAAATGCATTTTAGACTTATGGTATTTTATGAGTCTATCAAGACATAACCTCATCATGAATTGAGGAAGATCAGTATAGTTATATTCAGACTACTCTGAATACTGGGTCTTATTCTATTCAGTCTGCTATGAAAAAAATGCCATACTGGGTAGCTTATAAACAGCAGTAATTTATTTCTCAAAGCTCTGGAGCCTGGAAAGTCTGATATCAAAGCACTGGCAGACTTATCTCCAGTACAGTGCACTTCATCATAGACAGCTATATTTTCACTATAATCTCTTATGGAAGAAAGCATAAGAGGGCTCTCTTCGGCCTCTTTTACGAGGGCACTAATCTCTTTCATGATGGTTCTGCCCTCATGACATAATCATCTCCCAAACGTCCCACCACCTCCTAATACTATCACCTTCGGTGTCAAAATTTTAACATATAAAGTTTGAGGGGAAACAAACATTCAGACCATAGCATCCTATATAGTGGTATATAAATCACTTTTAATTCTAGTGAAAAGAGTTTAAAAAGACAAAAGTATTAAAAATAACTATAGCTAAAACAATTTGTTAATATATATACAATATAAAATATGTAAATTGTGATATCCATAACAAAATAGGGGGAGAACTAAAAGTGTAGAGTTTTAATATGTGATTGAAATACATTTCTTAACTTAAATTGTCTGTTATATTTTATAAGGTCCCATAGTAATCACAAAGAAAAAAACTGAAATAGGTACACAAAGACCCCCAAAAGCTAAAACTATCTTGAACCAGAAGAACAAAACTGGAGGCATTATACTCCCTGACTTCAAATTTTATTACAAAGCTATGGTAATCAAAGCTAGCATAAAAATAGACATATAGATCAATGGATCAAGAACAGAGAGCCCAGAAATAAGTCCACACTTTTACCGTCAACTGATCTTCAAAAGGGGTGCCAAAAACCCACAAGGGGGAAAGAATAGTTTTTCCTGTAAATCATTCTGCAAACACTGAATATCCACGTGAAAAAAAAATTGGATCCTTATATATCACCATGTACAAAAATCAATTCAAAGTAGATTAATGACTTAAATATATGACCTGAAACTGTAAAACTACTAAAAGAGAACATAGGGAGAAAGCTTCTTGGCATTGATCTGGGACATGAGTTTTGGATATAACCCCAAAAGCATAGGCAACAAAAGTAATAACTAAAACAAATGGGATTGCATCAAAAGTAAAAGCTTTTGCACAACAAAGGAAACAACAATATAAAGAGTAACCTATGAAATGGGAGAAAATATATGCAAACCATATATCTAATAAGGAGTTAATATATAAAATGTCTAAGGAACTCTAACAAATCAACAGCAAAATACAAATAACCTAATTAAAAAACAGTTAAGGACATGAATAGATATTAATAGAAGACATAAAAGTGTCCAAAAGTATATAAAAAGATGCTCAACATTAATAATCATCAGAGAAGTGCAAATCAAAACCAGGAGATAACACCTCACACCAGTTAGAATGGCTATTACCAAATAGACAAAAGATAACAAGTGTTGATGAAGAAACCTTGTACACTGTTGGTAAGAATATAAATTCACACAGTCATTATGCAGAAACAGTATGGAAGTTTCTAAAAAAAATAAAAGTAAAACTATCATATGATCTAGCAATCCCACTTCTGGGTATGTATCTGAAGGAAATAAAATCAGTATCTTGATGAGATTCCTGCATTCCCATATTCATTGCAGCATTATTCACAGTAGCTAAAATATTGAAACAATCTAAGTGTCTGTCAACTGATTAATGGATGAAGAAAATGTGGTGTATAATAATATTCCGTTAATTTGTTAATATACAATATTAACAAATTGTATATATATATGCAACGGAATATTATTCAGCTTTAAGAAAAAGAAAAAATTCCTGCCATTTTGAAAACATAGATAAACCTACAGGACATTATGCTAAATGAAATAAGCCAGAAAAAGACTAATACTGCATGATCTCACTTACATGTAGAATCTGAAAAAGTTGAACTCACAAAAGCAGAGAATAAAATGGTGTTTGCCAGGCAGTGAGTAAGATGTAGGGGAACTGGGGAGATGTTGGTCAGAGGAAATGAACTTTCAGTTGTAAGACGAAGCAGTACTGGATATCTAATGTAGAGTATGGTGACTAATAATGTTTTGTTGAAATTTGCTGAGAATTCATCCTGAGTGTTCTTACCACACACACACACACACGGTAATTATGTGAAGTGAGAGAAATGTTAACTAGCTGATTGTGGTTATTACTGCATAATATATGTATATCAAAACATCTCGTACATCTTAAATATACACAATTTTTATTTGTCAACTATACTTCAATAAACCTGGAGGGAAAAAGAAAGAATGTCATGAATCTTAGGTTTTTCCCTTGCCTTGTCCACTTCCCCCTGTGAGTCTCGGTCTTTGTCTCCCCCTCCCTGTGTTCTTTATCTGAATTCACAGCTGTGGTTTGCATTTGTGTGCAAAAGAAGGAGACATCTTTTGTATTAGAAAACTTTCCCTCCCATGTCCAGCACCATGTTCTGGCATTGTCATACAAGGGATAAACACTCTTCCTCTGCAGAGAGAAAACTAGGGTCTTCTCTGAATGAGACAATATGAACAAGCAAACATAATACATTTTCTGGACTTTATCAAGTAACATTTGTTGTAGAAAAAAATGAATAAACCCTTAAGTGTTGTGGTCACTGTGGTTTCCTTCTTTGTAAAGTTGAAGCTCTGACCACGCTTTCAGCCTCAAGGGAGAAATCTCTAAGCTATACAGTGAAGCCAGAGAATATAATCTCCCCAGGCAGAAAAGAATCTCTGAGCAGGGGCTGAGCCCCAAGGAAAGGCCAGGTCCATGGTAGAGAGGTGCTGTCCCAACCCCACCCAGGGCCCACGTTGAGCTGTTCTACTTACCCAGGACCAGCAGTGATACCCACAGCAGCATGAAGACTTGGCCTGCCCAGGGCTGAGACCAAAAGAGAGGTTTTCTCAGGAATACCAGGTTTGGCCTTGATCTTACAGTTGTACACTGTCACAGTAGCCCCAAGGAAGACATCTGAGAAACAGCTTTTTCAAAGAGCAGGATGCATTAGTAAATTAGAAAAAAGGAAGTGGAAGTACCCATCCTCAACTACTAATCAAAGTTTCCTGCCCAGTGATCAAAGTGAAAAAATAAATGTTAGGGTTTTTAAAAAGCTCATATCCTTGACCTCACATTTCTATTGCTTGGAAAATACCTTAAGGAAAGTATGGAAGATAGCTCTAAAATAATGTTTTTGTGACATTATTTATAATAGCCAAAACACTTGAAGCAACATAATAGGACTGCTTAAGAATATTCTGATACATCTAAACAATGACATAAAATGCAGACATTAAGAATGAGATAAAGTTGCACATATAAGAAGGCAAGACAACCTTGATTAATGTGAAGAGAAAAAAGTGAGGAGTAGATTGGTATTTGTAGTATTAACACATTGGGGTAGATGTAAAAAATAGAGTACATGTGTATATAAACTGACAAAGTATCCTTTTTTATTTCCTGGAAAGTATACCTAAAATAGTGGTTATATTTGAAGAACTGCGGATGGGAAAGAGACATTTTATTTTATGTCTTTCTATACTGTTTAACTTTTAAAAAATTACTATGTTTGTGAATTGATTTTATAACTTTTTAAAAGTCAAGTTTCCATCCTGGTATACTGACAGCAAAGATCACTAAGACATTAGCTGCCATGAGAAATGCCAGTTCCTTATTTTCAAATAGTTTTCCCCACCCTTTCTTTCTGAGTCCATACCTTGGTCTTCTTAAGGGGACATTTAATCTCATATCTGCAAATGCATATCACCTTACATATATTATGTTATATCCTACCTACTTCATTCTGAGACAAGAAAAGCATATAAGGGTAAATAGAGATTATTCCATCTCAGTCCAGCAGGAGGACCTCCAGGGAACAAAGAGCTTTTACTTGCTTTTGAAGCTAATACAAATAGCTCTGCTACATATATTCTTGTATAGGTCTCTCGGTGCATGTGGGCACGCATATCTGTTGAATATATACCTGGGAGTAGAATTCCTGGCTCTTAAAATTATTTTAGAAGGCTCAGTTTAGAAGGTACTGCTAAATTATTTTGGAGAGTGGTTGTGCTAATTCCTACCTTATCAACCAGTGTGTGAGAGTTCTTGTTGCTGTAAAATATTTACTGATATTGGTATTATAATCTTGTAAACTTTAGCCACTGTGCTAGGATTATCTTAATGCAGTTTTAATTTTCATGTCCCTGGTGAATTATGCAATTGAGCATCTTTTCATATTCTAATTGGTGAATTGGATATTCTTTTAATCTCACTGGTCATTTTTTCTTTTCTTGCCTTAAAATACAAATTTTATTTCATCTGGCTTGCAGTTTTTCTTTCGTGATATCATTGTCTGGTTTTGGTAGTGTGATGTTGGTCTCATAAAATGACTTCAGAAGTGTTCTTTCCTCTGCAATTTTTTGGAATAGTTTGAGAAGGATAGGTGTTAATTCTTCTCTAAATGTTTGGTAGAATTCACCTATGAAGCCATCTGGTCCTGGACTTTTGTTTTTTGGGAAATTTTAAATTACTGATTCAATTTTATTACTGGTAATTGGTCTGTTCATATTTTCTATTTCTTCCTGGTTCAGTCTTGGGAGATTTTATCTTTCTAAGAATTTGTTCATTTCTTCTAGGTTGTCTATTTTATTGGCATATATTTTTTTGCAGATGAAATGATACTACAAATAGAAAATCCTAAAGATGCCACCAGAAAACTACTAGAGCTCATTAATGAATTCAGTAAAGTTGCAGGATACAAAATTAATATACAGAAGTCTGTTGCATTTCTATATACTAACAACAAACTATCAGAAGAAAAATTAAGGAAACAATCCCATTTACCATCAAATCAAAAAGAATAAAATACCTAGGAATAAACCTACCTAAAGAGGTAAAAAGCCTGTATACATAAAATTATAAAACACTGATGAAACAAATTGAAGATGACACAAATGGATGGAAAGCTATACCATGTTCTTGGATTGGAAGAATTAATATTGTTAAAATGACCATACTAGCCCAAGGCAATCTACAGATTTAATGCAATTCCTATCAAAATACCAATGGCATTTTTTTCCCAGACCACAACAAACAATTTTAAAATTTGTATGGAAAGACAGTAAACTTTGAAGAGGCAAAACAATTTTAAGAAAAAAGAACAGAGCTTCCAAACAGCTTGAATCTAGGTATTGAGATACTCCTCTTAGGAACTCTGAGAGTTTTTGGCATATCCTCAAATACTAGGAGCATTTAAAAATATAATAGTCTGTTTGAAGAAGCACAAAGATTTGAGAGATGACAAAGAGCTGGAGCAGGGTTGAATAATAAGTTTTATCTCCTACATGAGGCCACTCTTCAATATTGGGAGAGGCCTTCATTTCATCTACTGTATACAAACCATAACAGAGTCAAGCAAAATAAAGAAACAGAGGAATATATTCCAAATAAAAGAACAAGATAAAACCTAGAAAGAAAAAAAACCTTAATAAAATAGAGATAAGTAATTTACCTGATAAAATGTTCAAAGTAATGGTCATAATGATGTTCACTGACCTGGGGAGAAGAATGGATGGACACAGGAAAGCTTCAACAAAAAGAGGGAAAATATGAGAAAGTACCAAATAGAAATCACTGCTGAAGAATACAATAATTGAACTGAAAAATACACTAGACACATTCAACAGCAGACTAGATGAAGCATAAAAGAGGATGAGTCAACTTTAAGACAAGGCCGTAGAACTCACCCAATCAAAGCAGCAAAAAATAAATTGAGTAATTTTTTTTTAAAGTAAAGATAGCTTAAGGAGCTTATGAGGCAAAACCCAATGGACACACATTCAACTTATAGGTGTCCCAGAAGGAGAGGAGAGAGAGAAAATAGCAGAAATCTTGAAGAAATAATGGATGAAAACTTCCCTAACCTGGATAAAGAAATAGACATCCAGATCCACGAAGTTCCGAGTTTAAATAAGATGAATCCAAAGAAACCTACACCAAGACACATTATAATTAAAATGTCAAAATTAAAGACACAGAGAGAATATTAAAGAGCAGCAAGAGTGAAATATTTTGTTATATATAAAGGAACACTCATAAGACTAACAGTAGATTTTTCAGCAGAAACTTTGCAGGCCAGAAAGGAGTGGAATGATATATTCAAAGTGTTGAAACAAAAAATAAAAAATCCAACAAATAATACTCTACCCAGAAAAGTTATCTGGTAGAATTTAAGGAGAGAGAAGGAGTTTTCCATACAAGCAAAAGCTAAAGGAGTTTTCACCACTAAACTGGCCTAACAAGAAGCGTTAGGAGGACTTATTTAAAATGAAAAAAAAGTTTAATTTCTAACAAGAAAACATATGAGAGAAAACATTTCACTGGAAAGGTAAATATATAGTAAATTTAGTGGTTTAATCACATAAAGCTAGTATAAAGATTAAAAGACAAAAGCAGTAAAAACAACTATTACAATCATTAGTTAAGGGATATACAAGACATAAAGATATAAACTGTGAGGTGGAAAGTAAAAATTTTGAGATATAGGGATCAAACTTATGTTGTTATCAATTTAAAATAGAATGTTATGTTATTATACAAAAGCCTCCTGGTAACCACAAAACAATCCTTTAGTAAATACCGAGAGAGAGAGAGAGAGAGAGAGAGAGTAATATAAGCATAACAGTAAAAAAAAAATTCATCAAACTACAAAGGAAGAGAACAAGATTCAATAAGTGGTGCTGGGAAACTGGAGAGCTACATGTAAAAGGATGAAATTAGTACATTTTCTCACACCATATACAAAAATAGACTCAAGATGGATTAAAGACCTAAATGTAGTACGTGAAAAAGCTCTTAGGAGAGAACAGAGGCAAAACACTCCTTGACATCAATTGCAGCAATATTTTTATGGATCAGTCTCCTAAGGGAAAAGAACCAATAGCAAAAATAAACAATGGGACCTAATTAAATTTAAAAGTTTTTGCAAAGCAAAGGAAACCATCAGCAAAATGAAAAGATAACCTACTGAATGGGAGAAAATATTTGCAATAAGCTCATACAACTCAACATCAAAAACAAACAAACCAACAAAAAACAGAATTAAAAATGCACAGAAGAATTCAATACACATTTTTCCAAAGAGTAAATGCAGATGATCAACAGACACACCACTAATCATCAGGAAAATTAAAATCAAAACCACAATGAGATATCACCTCACACATGTCAGAATGGCTATCATCAAAAAGAAGACAAATAACAAATGTTGGCGAGGATATGGAGAAAAGGGAACACTTGTACACAGTTGGTAGAAATGTAAATTGGTGCAGCCACTGTAGAAAACAGTATGGAGGTTCCTCAGAAAATTAAAAATTGAACTACCATGTGATCCAGTAATTCCACTCCTGGGTATACATCTAAAAAAACCAAAAACACTAATTCAAAAAGATACATGTACCCCAATGTTCATAGCAGCATTATTTACAATAGGCAAGATATGGAAGCAACCTATGAATAAATAAAGATGTGGTATATATATTGAATATATATATATATATATATATATATAATGGAATATTACTCAACCAAAAAAAAGAATGAAATTCTGCCTTTGCAGCAACATGGATGAACCTAGAGGGTACTATGCTTAGTGAAATAAGTCAAACAGAGAAAGATAAATACTGTATGTCATCACTTATATGTGGAATCTAAAAACAAAACAAACGAATATAACAAAACAGAAAAAGACTCACAGCTATAGAGAACAAAGTAGTGACTACCAGTGAGGAGAGGGAAGGGGGAGGGGCAAGATAGGGGTAGGGAATTAAGAGATACAAACTACTATGTATAAAATAAATAATTATATTCTACAGCATAGGAAATGTAGCCATTATTTTGTAATAACTGTAAATGGAGTATAATCTATAACAATATTGAATAAATATGTTGTATACCAGAAACCAATA